AATTTCATGTCAATCGAATGATTTCTTGTTGAGTTATAACAGAAAACGCACTTGTTGCTTAAGTTTTGCACACCAGTGTAATATTTAAGTAATTACCTCATTTTTTCTGAAAAGCACAAATATATTTACAGTAAGACTTTTGTAATTTACCCACTTACTTCTTTTGTCTTCTTAAACGAAAGGAATTAATTATTTTTGATAATTTAGTAATACATTTATAAAGGTGATCAACTTACATTGTAGGTGATCAACTTACAAAAGTTTCCAATTAAGCAGGTTTCACTGTTTGATGTATTTTTAATTGGTATGACATTTTTGTATTTTCTACTCTGTTCTATTATTTAGAAAGAAAACTTTATTTAATCTCATAATATTGCTTTTGAGATTTTATTCTTTTCTAAATTGATTTTATGTTTGCAGATTGCATTATTAATCACTTTTCACAGTTACTATGAAGTTATATGAAATACATTACTTTTTGACCTAACACATCATTCTTCATTTCAATTTTCCTAGATTGTTTGTTTTGTTTTTTCGGAAAAAAGAAGGTTTATATAGTCTATTGTCAGGAAAAATACAGTGGTTTCAGCTTCTTTATTTAAGGTTTTGACGCTTTGTGAGGAAGATAAGTAAAATCAACGATTTTTGTACAAAAGGACAATCTGACAGAGGAAATTTAAAGTTAATTAGTCAGAAAGAAACAAGAAATTTTATCAATACTAAGATATCAAAGAAATGTCTGGAAATTTAACTGATATATCCCAATAGTCGTGAGAAATTAATTTGAGTTTGTAGCACTTAAGTCTTTTTTTTTTGTTTTATTTTTTTTTAAAATTTATTTTGTTCAAGTTTTTTTTAAAAATTTGTTTATTTTAAACTTTAATGGCAAAAATAAATGTTTCATAATGATTTTATGTATAAGAATAAAACATAACTGAAAATTTGCAATGAGATTTGTGCCACCAGTTAGAAAAATCTAACTTCGATAAAATCAAGCTAAAAAATCATGAAAATTCATTAAAATTAGTTGGAAATTCAATAAAATTATTCTGAAAAATTCACGAAAGAGGAAGGAATTTTTTTTCTGAATGTTTGTGGCCTCCCTAAAAGAGCCCCTTAAAAAAAATCAGCTTGATTTTTATTAACACAAATTTCTGTTGCATCGTCTCAAACTTAAGATATCTGTGACTTGATCATTCAAAGTTTTTATCTAAGTGTCCCCACGTTTTTATTTAAGTGTCCGTGTAATAGATCATGAAGGTTGAGGCTGAACAATTTCTTGACCATGATGGTAGCAATATGGTCAGCATTATTGGCCATATTACACTTGATCTGAAGTTAAATGCCTGTTTATAGTTATATTGCATAACATATTGATTTAAATATTTAGTTACTGTATTTTTCTTTTCCTTTTTATAACAAACCATTATAAAAAAAATTATAACAGCATTTGATACTTGTTATAACAACCTGCTGTATCAGCATTTGAAACTTGTTATAATACATTGAAATTATTTAATGTAAATGCATAAAAGGAATGTAAAAGCCATGCTGTATTTTAATATTTAGCAGCAATAATTGCTTGATGCATTGTAACAATATACTGTAAAATGTAAATGCTTTTGTAATAGAGTATGCACTTAAGCACAAGTTTAACATTTTGTGACATAAATATAATTTTATATATTAATAAATTTTAAAATTATTTCTATTTTTTGATTCTTAATTTCTCATTAATTTCCCAGTGAGTGAAAGAATCTGTTTGTTTTCTGACTTATTCATGTTTGTTCTTGTAGGGACAGTGGTGTATTTAAAAATGAATGTGTAAGTAAGCAATTTTTTTCCTTTATTTGGTTTATTGTATTAAACTATATTGTGATTATGTTGTATCAAGTTTATTGCTTTGTAAGGCATTACAACGATATGATTTTTGAGGGTACATGAACTAAAAATTATAGTTTTTTTTAAAAATTGAATAAACTCTGTCTGATATTTTTAGTCATAAAATAAACTTAGTTTCATTCATTTTAGATAAATGCATTTTTAGTGTGATTACTTATCTTTATTCTTTTCACATAAACATTTATTGAAAAAATACCTACCCTGTTAATAAAAATAAGCTCATTCATCAATACTAGATTTATCTGCATTGTTAAAAAAGCTACAAAAAACCTTGTTGTTAAAATATAAAAACTGCTTTTATATTGAATTACTATTATCTCTTCAGATTTTGTTCATTATCACATTCACTTAAGAGTTAGATTACATTGCAAGTCTTTTCTTTTCAATAATCTTTTATTTCATTTCTTTTTGTTATTGTATTTTTATATATTTATTGAATTTTCTAAATGGTTTTATACTTAAGAATAAAGTATCAAAACAGTTTCAAACATTATAGATAATATTGCGCCATTTAACATTATTCCAATAAAACAATGTTTCAAAAATTAGTGTTCTCTAATAACTCAATTATAAATTAGTCATTTTACTTGCTAATGTCTCCTATTTATTGCTAATTATTCTTTCTCTCGTTAAATGTTTTTTGCAAAATTTAAATTTTGGATTTAATTTAAAATTCTAAATTAAATTTAAATTTTGATACATTTTCAGTCATTCATGTTTCAAAGTTAAAGTGTCATTTAATCGGCACTTTAAAGTATGTTATACTTGAAAATTTTATTATGTTTGTTTTCTTTTCACGTATTGAGTATTTCCATCCTTTTTACAATGTACAAGTTTGGTTTGACAAAGTTTCATTAAAACATATTTCAATAACTTGTTTACTTTTTAAAGTAATGGTAAGAAAATTTAGATTTAATTCAATCAAAAAAATTATATTATTCTTTATTATCTGTACTGGTTGAAAAAATAACTGAGAAGCTCCTGTTCTGTTTTAAATTATTTCAAACTAAAGGTTGTCATAATGAGACCCTACAATCTACTTGCAATGCTCAAGCTTGTTTGGACATCTGGATTCAAAATTATTGTAATAAATAAAAATGATTTCTAAGCTGAATTTTTGCATAGTTTCATCTAAAAAAAAACGATGTTATTAACTTTTATTTTATGCGGAAAAAAAATTGCCAAAATTTTCCTGTTCCCCTTTAAAATAAATAAAAAAATATAATTATATTGATAATCAAGAAAATTCTCCTGATTTTGCAAATGCATTTAATAATAATTTTATTAGGATATAAAGATTTCAATTTTCATTTTTTTCTATTAAAATAATTTAATAGCTTTAGATGAACAATTAAGATTTAATTTATATTTTACTTATTTTTTTTATAAAAAAAAAAGATTTATTAATAAAAAAAAGATCTTTTTCTTGTTTTAAAATATAATTTTCTTTACTTTTTCTTGCATAGGTTTTAGAATCCAACAATGTGCCTGCTACTTTTTCTTTTGAGGATGAAGCTTATTTGTCCTGTTTGAATTCATCGTTTGAAAATGTGATTCTTAGATTTTTGAATTGGTAGGATTTGAAAAAAAGAATTACAGAAGTTGAAAACACTATTTAGAATTTTCTTTATGTTTAGAGACTTGTTTTTATTTACACTAATTTCTTTTGACGAATTTACATTAAATTTAAATTACATTATTTTAAATTTACATTATTTTAAAATTTATATTATTTTTTTATATAATTTATTAGTAACAAATATTTATTTATAACTTGTTAATAAATTTTGTCATAACTTACCAAAATAATATCTGAAAAACTATATATATTTAAATAGATAGATAGAAAAATAAAAATAGAAAGAAAAAAAAGAAACGAAATGTGAAAAAAAGCTATTTTTAAAAATTAATTAAAAATGGAAAATTTAGCAACAGAAAATATATAATCTTGTCATTAGCTCACACGATTATATTCGCAAAAATAGTACTTTCTTAGATTGAATTAATTTTGTCAAAGCAAAAACGAGACATTCATATACAATTTTTTTTTTTGCAAATGAAAATATCTGGAAATTCAAGAAAAATACAAAGTAAAACACAAATAGAAATTAAGTGAAAAGGGAGAAAATTGGCCTTAATCTTACTGGCTGAAATCTTAAATTAGTAA